GCAATAGGAAGCAGGGGATTGTATTAAGAAAATAAGTATTTTTCTCATTTGTGTAAGCTGATAAATAACTCTTGTTTGTAACTGTTAAATACAGTTCTATATAGCTAACTGCAATTTTTTATATTCATTACAGAAGTTTTAATAGCATACACTGTGGCAATACTTCCTTTTCAGTTTATGGATAGAAATGAGAAATACAAAAACCAATCTTACCATGAGGTCACTTTCTGTTATTCCAGTGTAATTAAAAATAAGCAAACAAAAACCAACAACAAGAAAAAATGTGTTTATTTATAAAAAATGCACTTAACCGAGCTAAAAGATGAATGAGCAGATTGAGTTTGAAGAAAAAGTGCATTTTGGGAACAGTTATTATATTTTAAATGGTATTTAAAATGGGATTTCAAAAAAAAAAAAAAGCATAATGCATCATTGTTAATCTTAGAAGTGGAATGTAGTAACTGATTCCTTTTTTGAATGGAAATGACAATTTAGTGAAATGCACCCAACAGCTTTTTAAAATACCTTGCTAGTTCAAGGCAGCTACTTGTATGTGTTGCATATAGGTAGGCAAAGTTAAAAAGCAGACTTGGGAAAACCTTTTGTAACCCAGTTTTGATGACAGTAAACCCCATGTGAATGATATGCTGTGACTTAGCTGATCAGATAACTTCATCTTTGTTAGACTTGCGACTAACTTAATTTGATTACTGATTTTGAGAAAATGTTTGCAAATGTGAATAGATTCCTCCCTCTTCTCCTGTAATGAATGCAGTGCTTAGGGTTTTTTAATTTTTTGCTAATAATTTTTTATAATTTCATATAAATTCTGTAGATGGTCATCAGTTCTATGCTAAGTTAGATTCTGCAGTCTTATACCTTTAAGCACTAACACAGGAGCCTCCTTAGGATGATTTCCTGAGCTGGATTTCCAATACTGGAACATAAGACCTGTTTTTAATCTCTGAATAAACTGGGAGCTCCTGGAAGAATTGGAAGTAGTCAATCTCAACTGGTCTATATTAGCACATTGACCACTGTGCTAAATAGTGCTTCAGTTAGCACTGTTTTAATCTGCCAAATTGTCCCAAAACTGCAGATGTCACAGTGAGGCCAGCTTTATCACAATACTCTATCCAAGTGCTTCTGTTCCTCAGGGGTGTGAATGCTAGTAGCTATATGAGGCCCTCATTTGTAAGGACATACAGGTATTTTCATCATGCAGTCTGGCAGGGCTTCTGATGATACTATGATTTTATAATTCTGTTCTAGAGATCTGCTGAGTCCATTTTTTGTTATAGAGGAGGGTGGTGGAAATAAGGAATATAGAAATCTGAGGGCTTTTTCTATGTCAGGGCAAGCAACGGGAGCTATTTCCAATTCCAGGTCAAATAATTTTGTACTTGAGCACTGTTGCCAGACAAGAATGAGGTTATGATCTAAGTACTGTATTAAAAAGGGAGGAGATTATGTTTTTTTCTGTTTTCTGAAGTCTGAGTGAACTGAGTTAGGAGGTTGGTCAGATTTGACAAATGCATGTCACTATTAATATTTCTGTTAAAAAATATATTATTTATGTTGTTCTGGGTCTTAATAGCATATGACTCCCTGAAAAAAAACCCACAGATGCCTACTGCTGAATGCTAATAGATCCCATCCCTTTATGAACTCTGGAGGAATACAAAGGGAATACAAAATTTTTGCTTGCTTGTTTTTTCTTGGTCTGCTGCCATGTTCAACATCAACTAGCACTTCTGCTTTGTCTTCTTTCTGTCATATCAGCATAGCAACTGAGCAGGCAAACATGACTAGAAGCCAGGGAGATATGGAAATGTGGGACAGTCACACAGGATTTATCAGGCCTTTATTATTTATTTATTTTTTTCCCAGTTGGGCTGCTTAAGGTTACAGCAGGAGCTTCTAAATATTGGTGAGGAAAAACTACTAAGGATGCAGGGTTTTATTAAAACACTTACTAAATTAACAATGCAGGGTGATGCATAATTTAGAATTATGAACTTTAGTTCAAGAGCCATGAAGCCAACAGAAGTCTTTTGGGATGGTATGAAGGTGTATTATTTGGGTATTGCTGCTAAAAGTCAGAGTTAAAAGGGAGGAAGCTTTTTTTTAAATTTCCATAGTCCTAGTGGTTAGAGCATAGGTAAACTATGACCCAAGAAGTTCAAACCTTTTTCCTCCCAAAGAGAGCTTGTATGCAGGGCTCTCGGGGGAGAGCAGTGAGTACACCTGTCTGCAGAAAGCTCTCTGGAGTGACTAAATGGGAGGCAGTTAATTGATAATGGTGGATCCAGGATGCCTTTGCAATACGCAAAGCAGTCTACACCAGTGTCTAATTGTCTTGCAGTCTGTGAAGTGCCTCTTAACTGTTTTCTCTCCACATCTCTAGGTCAGTCCATAGAAATGTGTGTTTAAACCCAAGAGTTTCTATAAGCTTGCTTGATACCCTATTGGTGTAACCATCCACTTTCCTTTGCCATTTATGTTTTCTGTGTTGAGGTGACCCTGCCCTTGAAAAAAATACCAGTTATATCTAATCATACATAAGATGCTTTAAAATAACAAGTCCTTAAATTATTTTAGGAGATCGTGGTGTGGGGTGGATTTAATGGCTGTGAAGTTGTGCTGCTTGACAGCGCTTTTCAGGTTGGGGGCTATTTCCATGTAGTTTTAACTTGCTTGTTTTGAGGAGCAACTATTCACCAGCCTGACATTGCTGGTGAAAGGGCATGGCCATGACATGCACAGGACCAAGACTCAGGTTATTGGGTTTTTTTGTACACCAATATGTGTTGTGCTACAACTCCAGCTTCAGGTGCTAGCCCGCTCTTCTGCAGGGTCAGAGCTCAAAGGGTGGCAAAGGTGTGTGTGGGGGTTGTTTATTTGTTTTGTTTGTTGTTTGGGTTTTTTTTAAAGAGGGCTGGAGTGTATGTCTCTCCAAGACCTTGTCGAGCTCTTGAACTTAAAGGTTTACTTTAAACTACCTTGCATTGGCACAGGAAAACCTCAGGTGCTAAAAGTCTTTTAAGAACTGAAGTACTTTGGCTGTAGTGTGTAATGTAATATGCAGAAATCTTTCAAGTGCAAGTAATAATAGATGGCAAATAATGACTGCCTGCTGCCCCTCCTGGGAAGACTCCGTGTGTTTCTGTCTCCTGCCGAGCTAGCAGTATAAATCACATCATGCATTAATATGAGTGTGGTTCCAGGAGAGGACAGAGCTGCCCATGTTGCACCCAAAAGGAGACATTCACTTTCTTCTTTGGACCTTCTTTCCCCATTGGCTGTGATTGATTATATTTATACTATTTTGGTCAATATAGTATCTGAACTAGAAGATCTTAAGGGAGAGCACCTTGGTGGAGTCAGTTATTCAAACTGTATTTAGCAGTTCAAATGTGAAAGAGCTTGATGTTTTTCTTTGCTTTACTTAACGTATTACGTTTGTTTCGTTATCACTAGATGTCCATTAAGTACTTTCTGTTCCTTCATTTGCTTATGGTAGGCAGCTACTCCTGAATAAATTAGAAGAGGCAATATAGAGAGGGTGGGATTATGTTGGCGTGTGATTGTTGACTCACTTTCCAAAGAAAGAATAGACTCAATTGTATAATCCTTTTTCCCCCCTTCATTCTAGCACATCAAGTCACTATGTTACTGTTTTTATTGCAGCCTGCTAAGTTTATAGAACAAATGACTTCTTTGAATGTCAAAGCCCACTTATTTTGTAGCATCACACAGTAAAAAGTGTCCTTTTTATGATGAACTCTGATATTTTGAACACTGTCAGAAAAAGCACAGTCTATTCACAGTACGGTGAAACACCAAGCCAGCAGCAAAATTCTTGTAAGTAGGTGTGTGTGTTAGGTGTGTTTCTCCACACCCCCTCCATTCAAACAGTGTGGTCAGAATGCAAATAAAGAGAAATCCTCGTTTCAGAGGGGATGTGGGGTGTGTGGCTGATGTAATGCTTCCAGGCTGATACTACCTGATGGCCAGTGTACTCAGTTTCAGACCATATTTAAGACTTTCATGTTAAGAGTAAAATATTTGGGTGGGAAAACATAAAGTAGACACTAAAGAAACTATTATCTTTTTTTTTTTTTTTTTAAATTAAATTTGTAGCAAGAGAAGCTTTCAGACCTGTAAATTAGGAGCCACAAGGAAGAGGAGAAAATTACAGCAAAATCTGCACACCATATAGCAAGAAACTAAGGGATTACATTTCTGCAAGGGAGATCTAAATTAAGCACTGGGAGAGTTGAACACTGGGATAGGTTGCATGAGAAGATATAAGGAGACAGTTTTCCAGGCTGTGTAATAATATTTTGAGGGTAAGCATGGCCAGAATGGTTAGGGTTAACATGCTGGAGGGAAGGGATGCCATCCAGAGGGACCCTGACAGGCTTGAGAGGGAGGTGCATGCAAACCTCAGGAAGGTGAACAAGGCCAAGTGCAAGGTCCTGCACCTGGGTCAGGGCAATCCCAAAGCACAAATGCAAGTTGGGTGGAGAATGGATTGAAAAGAGCCCTGAGGAGGACGTGGGGGTGATGGTGGACAAGAAACTCAACATGAGCCAGCAATGTACACTTGCAGCACAGAAAGCCAACAGTGTCCTGGACTGCATCAAAAGAAGTGTGGCCAGCAGGTTCATGGAGGTGATTTTCTCCCTTCTTCTCTTGGTCCTGGGCAGCTCTAAGTGGTCCTGCTTGAGGTGGGGGTGTTGGACCTCCAAATCAGGTTAGTAGCATTGATGATAGGACTGCTTAAATACTGACTTCACTGCAAAGTCACATCCCTCCCTTTTAGTTTTGGTGTTGTCACTGAATACTTCCTACATCAGCCCCTTTATTTCCTTTGTTGCTCCAGAATCGGTGAAAATATGTGCAAAGCTTTCTACTTGAAACACCTAGTCAGCACAATGACATGGTACAGCATTACCTTTGCAGAACAGGACCTTTACTGCATCCTGTCTTTCCAGGTGGTTGGAGGCAAGGTAAAGAAACCAGGCAAGCGAGGTCGTAAACCAGCCAAGATAGACTTGAAGGCCAAACTTGAAAGAAGTCGTCAGAGTGCAAGAGAGTGCAGGGCCAGGAAGAAGCTGAGATACCAGTACCTGGAAGAGCTGGTTTCAAGCAGAGAGCGAGCTATCTGTGCTCTCAGGGAAGAGCTTGAAATGGTAAGAAAATATCATTTAACCTACCCATATTATTTGGGACCTGTCCTTGTGGACATTTGTTCTCAAAATCACTGTGACTGCGAGTGGGATTTGGCAAGCCATGAGCTATCACAGCATTGGGAACAGGTGCATTCAGCTGTTTGCCTTCTTTGCCTGTTGAACATGAACCCCATGTCTAAGTTATCTGCTGGTTTTGAACTAAAAGCAAGCAGTGGAAGTCCCATGGCATATTAATCTGTTGTCTTTGAAATGTTTGTTTTGGAAAACTTCCAACAGAGATAGAAATAGAGGATGGAAAGAAATGTCTTAAAATATCAAGGGCGAACATGTATCCACAGTGTGTCATTGCTTCCCACAGACCTTTGTTTCTGTTGAGGAAGTTGATTCTTGCAGCATCTTCTCTGTGTAGATGGTTGCACTGCTGTCCTGTGTTCCAGCAAATATAAGATGGGTGTCTTGGCCAAATAAGCTGCATTAATCAAGGGTAATGTTTCATCTGGCAATACAGACTCACATTGGTACTGAGATGCCATTGAAATGTGATTAGAGGTGAGGATTTTTCCTTGGCCTTGCATTACATTTGTTTGAATAGGCAGGGTTAATTGCCACCAGCAAATAGGGTCAGAATTGGGTGGAAAGTCAGCCAGCTGGCCATAGGTTTTTCAGTGTGCTTCAGCATTTGCCAATGGAGAATTTAAGATGAACTAGGAGCGAGGAGCAAGACACATGTGCTGTAACTGTGCCTTGCACAATCAGAAAAGACCTCTTAATAGTCCATCAGCCCCAGAATCATGTGAAATATTTGTTTTTAATAGGCCATGAACTGGAACGGTATTCTGGCATGCCAGCAGCAAGAACATGCACAAAGTGTTCCATGTTGTTTAATAATTACAGTATTGTCCAGTACTGCCACTGAGTAGCAGTTTAGTGACTGAAACAGGATTTACTGAGGGCAGGTATGCAACCATGGACACGTGCTTAGCTCATTAGTGCTCTGCAGTTTTGTAAGAGGCTTCAGCCCAGTAAATTCAAACCTTAAATGAATATACAGGAAGGTAAAGATTACAGCTCTGTTTTGTCTGCTAATGTGATCCTGGCAGTTTGCTAATGCCTAATGTGTTTGCATATTTCAGTACAAGCAGTGGTGCATGGCCATGGACCAAGGGAAAATCCCCTCTGAAATAAAAGCCCTGCTAACTGGAGAGGAGCAAGGCAAAGCACAGCAGAACACAACCAAACTTGCCAAGGCTGGCAAGACAGAAGCAAACAGCAGCAATCCCTGTGAGTATCCAGCCTGTGATTAATTCCTATTTTGTTACATCTTTTGTGGTGTAGGAGGATGGCTGTGGTGTAGGAAGAAACAGAAGGATGTGCTTTTGGGCACAAATAGTGGATTGAAGCAAAAAGCTTAGTGGGTGGTACAAAGACTCTGTGTAATGTTTACAAGGACAACACAAATTACACTAGCTAGAACTGGGCAGTTATTTTAAAAGAAGACTCAATCTTTGTTTCACCAAGGCTTGTGGAGACTTCTGAAGAACTGACACCATAATCTTCTACAGCATATTCTGGTTTCCTAATGCAAGGTAAATGGAGCACATAAGACATTATTGAATTTTTAAAACTCCATCAAGAAAACATTCTTCTAGCTGCATTCACTTGTGAGAAACACTGGGCTTGGCATTTTCTATGGAGTCTTTTTCTTGCCTGATTTGTGCTTGTCCAGGGAATGAAATAAGGTCCTTTTGGGGATTGAAAGGTGAAAAGGTCATGTCATATAAAGTCTTATATGTGATACATACATGCAAGGAATAGAGTTTAGGTTTAGGATGGGCATTTCTAATTTTCAGCTCTTCTAATTTTGAAATATTTCATGCTACAGGTTAAATTACACTTTACTGTAAATCAAAAAATAAATTGCTAGCTTTGTTTTTAAGAAGCAATGCAAAACCCACATTTGTAACTGTGACAATCTTCCCCCATGGTGCATCATTCACAGGAGGCCAATGCAGAACCTTCTGCACTGCAGCAGAGATACGTTGGTAGCTAGCAGAAGAATGCTGTTGTCAGAGAAGTGGATGCATCCCTGGGTGCAAGGGGAAGGATTCATGTTCACTCTCTTCTCTTTGTTCCTCCCCACATGAAACTCTCTGATTGTGGTGTTCCCCAAGCCTGCACAGAGTGGGATTTTGGGGTTTTTTTGTGCAAGCAGAACCTTGTTCTTCCTTTCTCTGCACCAGCCTCCCCAAATACAGCTATGGCAGCTTTTGGGCATTCCCCAATAAGAGATGGGGCTGCCTTTGGTTCAGAGCCCAGAATTAGCCTGGCTTTGTGGTCGGTAGTTAAGTGATTGGTAGCTGTTGTGGGAGTTTGAGAGGTTCTGTAAAATAAAATAAGGAGAAGGATCTCATCACAGCTTTGCTAAAGCCAAAGGGAGTACTGTAGGTTGAGGAGAAGGAACTGGATCAATAGCTTCCAATTAGAAGGTTTTATAGTAATGTAATTTGTAACTAAAAGATGTTGCTTTCAGCATCCTTTTATAATGCAGCATGTCTTCTATATTATTTGGGCTCTTAAAGAGAGGTACTAGGTATAGCTTCTAGCTATACCTAGCTTCTGCCCATACTTCTGTTGCAGGATGCATTTCTGACCCCCCATGTTCCCAGTGAGATATTCAAACCTTGTCCTTCCACCTTGCTTCCAGCAGAGGAACAATTGCCACCTCCCTCCACCCGTTGTGCCCCTGCTCTCTTGCTGTATACCTACACTGTGGGTATCTTTCTAGCCTGCAACTTAACATGAATTCTGCTATGCTATCCTGGTTTCCCAGCCAAAAATAATGTCAAGAACTGGTAGCAAGGAAAACAAGTTGAATCAGTTTGGTTTTATGGTAAGAGAGATGTCTTGCAGGCTGATTTACTCATCCCAGCTATGGACAAATAACCTGCCACTTACCTTAGACAGCTCTTTCTCCTCCACACCCTTTTGGCATTTATATGATGCAATGTGGAGAGTGGAGCTCTCTGGATTTTCAGTGGGGGGTTTGCTTGCTGAATCTCCATTTTGTGACAATGTTTATCTTTGTATTTTATGCCATGTGTGGGACATTTCTTCATCTTATGTTTTCTTCTTTGTTTCATAGAATAAATATTCCAGTGAATTACTTTGCTAGACTGAATGTTTTCTTTTTATTGAATTAATTTGGTCTCTTTAGTATTGTCTTGAATCAGGATTAGTTGAAAGCACTGAAAATAATAGTGCTATATTCCAGTGTTCTGCACAGTTTCCAGAATTCCATTCTGGGCACTCACACATTAATCCTTAAGGGATGGATTTAAGTTTGTTCTCTAGACTGTCCACACACGTACTTGCTTAGCAATTGCTAAGAAATATTGCATAGACTTGGAAAACTACTAGAAAAAGTTACGTAACACTGAAGCTGAGATGGGGAAGATATGATAGGATTCCCCTCATTTTGTATTCTAAGCTCTGAACTGTCCTGAAAGGCAGCAACAAGGCCTTCCTGTAAGTTTTGGGATTTTTGTTTATGTTGAATGCTTGTCTGTCCTTTTCTTGGCTTCTCTGGGAAAAAAACACCAAAACCCTAGACCAGATGTCCAGATCTATAGTCTGAACCTTGCAGTTGGATTTTAACATGAACATGCCAGAAGCACAATATATTATTTTTGGTTGGACTTAGACTTACACAGTCTAGTTTCAGATGTGAACCATGTATTGTAATTAAACACATTTTAAAGGTTGTGTCTTCTTAAGTCTTTCTCTGAATCAGGGATGTAGAAAATGTGCAGAGGATTTATGATATGTCTGACCAGAGCAGCTCCCCTCTGTACTAGGTAACATGACAAATGCAGCTGTAATCTCACCAGAAATGTCCCACTTGTCCTCCACTGCTTCCTTGTTTCACTTTCTGTTTTACCACACCAGAAACTTCTCAGGAGTTAAGTTTTCTTTTATGGAGGAAATTAGGAATTAGAATTTCTCATGGCAATGAGGAACAGTTTTCATCTGTTCCTCAGCACAGTGGCTCCTGCCTCCTGGCTTGGGCAGCAGTTGGCATTACAGGATTGTGTTTGGCACACCTGAGCCCAGGTCTGTGGCACAAACAGTGGCATTCATGTTCTAACAGGTTTTCTGTGCTTCATGCAGGTGGGACAGGAGGCATATTACAGCCGTCTTAAGCTGATGGCAAGTTTGTACTGCAAGCCAAAATAACAGTGGCAGAGAGTTAGAGGCTCTAACTGTAATTTTCCAACCAGCTCTAGATGATGTAGTTCATTATGAAATGTTGGATTCCTAGCAATGATCATTAAATTAGAGCTTCCATAACATGGCAGATCATGCTGCATTATAAATATTCTGGCCTTAGATGGATCTCTGGGAGTTCTTTGTTTTGAAGTTTAGCAGTTCCCCTTAAAAAACAACAGAAATACTTGTGGTTCATGCTCATGTGATACTCTAATGGTTTACAGCCTGCATCCCCATCAAGGTGGGTCCCAGAAGTCATGCAACTAGGTTCTCTGACTAGGAGGCACCTTAAGTGGTACCCTAAATCATGGAGGATGGTTTAGTCTTACCCTCTCTGTGTAAAATGGGTACAGCCTCCCACCCATTTCTCCTGCAGTGAGTGTGTGCAGCTGGTTCTCTCTCACAAACATTGAAGAAAGGAAATAAACCTGGAAATGCCTCATATTCCCACTTGCCATGGAAATCTAATGGTCAGCTAGAACGATTTGCCCAGCTAAAAGTGGGTATCTCTTGGAAAGTATCCATAGTGTTAAAAAAAATGCTGTATACTATTTGGTGTTTTAAGTAACATCAGAGCTCTGTTACAGGAAGGTGTAATAAGACTGAACTCAGTGGATGCTGATGGAATAAGCACTGTAGTTACACTAATACTTTTGGAGAATTTAACCCAAGGATTTACCAGATAGTGGAAACTTCACTAGAAAAACATGCAATAAGTGTTGTCTTTATATCTGCTTAGTGCATAGAATCCCAAAAACCAAAGTGGATACACTTAATGGACTTGTCCCTTAACTGAGAACATTTTGTAATTATATATAATACATAAAATTACAGTCTGCTTTCATGATCTGATGATTATGTTTGTCAAAGAATCTGAAGTCTATTAAGTGCTTTTCAAAAGACTGTTATAACTTACATCAGAGGAGTTTGGTTTTTTACTGTATTAGATAAATTTTAAAAAAGCTTTTCCCTTTCTTGACAGCTGAAACCATTACTAGCTTTGGGACAGTGACTGATGATTTTATTTATTTATTTATTTATTTTCTCCTTTTACATTTTAGGGTGAAGATTAATCTCCTGGCATCTCATTTGGCACATAGTTGCATTTGCTACTTTCCAAAAAAATTACACAGAGCACTGGAACAGGCTGCCTGGGGAGATTGTGGAGTCTTCTTCCCTAGAGATATTAAACCTCACCCTGGACACAATCCTGTGCCACCTGCTCTAGGTGACCCTGCTTTACCAGGAGGCTTGGACTAGATGATCTCCAGAGTTCCCTTCCAGCCCCTACCATTCTGTGATCTCTATAGTTAGCTATAAAATTACTGTTAATATAAGGACCAAATGTTTGAGGCTTATCTAAAAATGTGGAGAATTCAGAGGAAAAGCTGAAATAAGAACTCTAGTCCTCATTATGCTTTAGAGATACAGCAAGAGGATGAACTGATGTAGAAATACCTGTTGTAGGTAAGCAAGGAAAAAACATAATCTTGTGGGTTTCCTGCTGTTAGTTTCACTGAGTATTAATTTCCCTAAGTTGTGGCACTAACTGAATTCCTTGTGTGACTCTGTTGTGGGTTTGTATGAGAAAACAGAAACTTCTAATCCACAGTAAAATCTGAGGTATCCCATACTGCATAGTGCATGAGTGGACTACTCATCAACTGTATTTATGGAATGTATAGACTTGTATATGTAGATAAGGAAGCAGAATTTGTAGTGTCAGTTATAGCTGTTGCCTTCAGCTGTTTCTGCAAAAATTGTTGCTTGTTATTATTTATACAATTATTTGTATTTTCTTTATCTTTAAATAGAAAATGCTGCTATGTTTCAGCTAGTCATTTTCAGCAGCACTTTATTAAAAAAAAATAATCTGCAAAAACCAGACTGACTTCCAGTTTTTTTTTTCCTCCGTAAAAATAGTTTGAGAGGTGGAAGTTTTGTTTCCATAACTAGTGCAAGATCAGCCCTGTTTTTTTGTGTGTCTGCCTGTAACTCACAACTGGCTTAAATAAACACTAGCAACATGAACTGCTGCTTCAAGCAATTCTTGTGTATAGTCTTTATGTATGAGGTTGGGTAATGGTAACATTTGTAACTATGCTGCAGCCGATGGGTACTCTGCTGATGAAATACATTTGTGAGTAAAAGACAAGTGAATTATACAAATGTGTTTCCAGGAGACAGTGTTTGATGTGAATAGAAATAGCCTGCTACAAACAGTGGCTTTTTCCATACTTCCTTTCTCATGGCAACCTTCAAAATACGTTTTGATCAAGTTATACAGCGCTGGCAGCAGCAGTGCTGCATATTCCTGTGATAGAGCATACCAGCAGTGTCCTGCAGCTCCTTATGTGGCATGCTCCAAATGTCTGCTGATGTAAGAACCATTCTTTCCTAGCCCCTATCGAACATAGATCCTGCCGTGTTGCTAGGTCAGTGTTTTCTGTTTTGCATTTCTGGGCTTTTGCTTTCCTCTCCCCTAAGCAGTACTTCAAAATCTCCCAGTTTTTGGTATGCATTTACAGAGCCATCTGTGAATCTCCCTTCTTCCCTATGTGGTCTGGCAGCTATTTTCAAAAGCCACCAAGGCTTCCTTTTCCAGAGGACTACAGAAAAACATGGGTTGGTTTGCTGTTGCTCTCTTCGTTTGCACAAGGGGTGCACCACACCCACAAGCTCACCCTGAGCATTTTAAGCTCTCAGTAACAGCAGAGTAAATGCCCCTTCTGCACTGCCAGCTCTGAATAATACCATCACCCTTAGTGGCTCAGCACCCACTTGCTTCTCCGCCTAGCCTAGCGTAAGCAGTGTTGATGTCAGCTCCCCCCAGTGGTTTTTTTTTCTTGTTCAGGTGTTCTGTTGATCTGTGTGGTCAGGGGGAAGGCAGCACTGTTGGGAGGGTGGCAGCAGACAGCAATGACAGCCTTGTTCCGTTGTAGGTGATGGGCATGTGTGGAAACAGTTCGGCTACTTGCAAAA